CTCCAAGACTGGCCGGGCAACGCGGCGCGTACCCGAAAGGCCGACGCCGTGGGCGCCAATCTCCACACAGACGAAAAAAAAAAGATCGGAGAAAAAAGGTTTTTGCAGGCGACAACGCAGTCAAACAAGTAGAGGCATTTCACCAGCACAAAAAAAAGGGCAGTCGAGGATTGCCTAGGCACCGACCGTGCCTTCCACCACCCAGAATAACACGAATAGCATGATCCAAGAATATATATATATATATAGATTGTTCATGCATAGCTAAGCCGGCAGTCTTCCCAATAAATACCTACATAAATCATCATCATCATATTTTGCTTCCCAGGTGTTTGGCCCAGATCCCTTTTTATAACTCCCCCAGAGAAACGATGGTCAACAAATACTTGCATGTCCTTTTTTTTTACAGCGGATGATACGGCGGACGGTACGCCGGGGGTTGCGTTTGTGGGTAGGAATATTCATTTATTACCGACTCGTAACTGGGCGGTGCGTCCGCATCCGCAGAGGTTGTTGCTCGCGGAGGAGGAAACGGGCCAAACGCCGCCGCCATTTCACGCTGCCGCCGCAAGATTTCTGCCATGCGTTCCTCCCGCTCTGATTCCCGCCGCTGCTGTTTCTGTTCGAGTAATTCAATCTGCCTGCAGAGCTCCTCCTGGCGCAGCCGGGAATCTTGAATGACGTCCGCGCTTGCTTGGCTCTGCTGCATCTCCGAAATCTTTTGCGCGATTTGCTCATCAAGGGTCACGCGCAGACCCTCCGCCTCTAACTTGCGAGAGACGGTAAAGGACTTGGCGCTGGAAAGCGTGGACTCCAGCCTGTCCAAGGTGGAGGAGGCGTAGCGCAGTATTTCCCCAAACTCCTGACGGAGTTCCGCGTAAACAGCGCAGGCGCTCTCGAGACCGTTACACACCTTCTGTACTTCCTCCATTATGGGATCTGAGCTCTGCAGGAGACCGAGGCTGTTCACAACCCGCTCCACCTCTGCCATGATTTGCTCCTCCTCCCGCATCGTTTCGTTGGCGCGCTCAATCGCGTCACTGATTTTTTGGGCCTCCCCCTCAAAGACGGCCCCGCGCTGGCTATCCTCCACAGACGAGAGCGCAAAGGTCACATTATCCGACTCAAGGAGCTCATTCAATTCTCGCAGCCGAACCTCCTGCTCCTCTTCCACTCTTTCCTTCCGCTGATTCAGCTGCTTAAGCGCATCCACCTGTTCCAGGACCTTTGCACTCTGCTGGCGGGCCTCTGTTGTCTCCACAAAGGGCATCAACGCGTCCAGGTCTTCCATCGGCCAGTCCAGCCGCACGAGACCGTGAAGGCTTCCCTCCAGCAACGCCTTGGCCTTCGTGAAGGGGTCTAGGAACCACCGCTGGAGTCCATTTTCGCATTCCTGAAGTGCCGCCTCAATAGAAATGCGGTCCACTGCCTCACTTGACGGATGACGCACGCCGCGCCACATCCGCTCCCCGTATGCAGTCACGTAGGCCTCATCTTCCTTGCGTTCCGCCTCCAACTCCGCATTCACCTGCTGCATTTTTTCCTTGGCGGCGCCCCAGAGTTCGTCGCACGTTTTCAAGGCGGAGACCAACGACTCCACAAGGCATATAGTCGAGCCATCCTCACCCGTGCGGAGGGATTGAATCTTCTCACGGAGCGCCTTGGGAATCTTTCCGCGGTTCTTGGACTCGCCAGACAAAACATCAATCGCAGCCGTCACCCCAAGCGTCTGCCACCGTTCGTTTGCCTGTTTACGACTGGAGGCGCACGACTTGTTGCAAACAGAGACGAGGTTGCGCTCCTTATCACGCCACTTTGAGACGGCGTCGGCAATGTGCACTGGAACAATACCAAAAAATGGATCCTCACCACGCCGAGACTGAAAGCTGGTGAAGCGGGGGTGCTCCGTGGCCTTTCCAAGAGGACGTGCAAGACCCATCGGGGCCTCCACCTCCTTCGGGACGCGCACAAAGTAGACGGACTCGTTGGACGCAATTGCCTTGTCGTGCTCCTTGTTGACGTTGGCGACGATGCTGCTGATCCAACCACGAAGCTCTGTGGTGGGGAGTTTTTGCACCTGCGCCAGGTAGCTCTTCGCCTTCTCAAAGTGGGCGATGGCGGTGCCAATGGACTCTGTGTCCCCCAGCGAAGTGGCGAGGTGCAGATGCGCGCGCGCAGAAAAGACCAGCCCAAGCGTCGAGAACACCTGCTCGGTGAGCGCCACGGGGGAGTGCCGGTTGCTCCGCGTATACCACGCGCTCGCCTTGAAGGAGCTTGCCACCTCCTCGTACTGCTTTCCGCCCTCCCACGCAATTTTGGCCAAAATGGGATGGTTACCCTTCATTTCATTCTCTGCCTTGAGGTACGCCGAATGGTGCGCCATCACGAGACACATACGACGCAGCAAACTTAATGCCTCCGCCGTCAAATCATTCTTTACATGCTCTGGTGGAAGTCGGGTTAGGAGCTGCTCCGCCATTTCATAGTACCCTGCGGCATTCTGAAAAGCCTTAAAAGCATTTTTAACATCCCCCGCTGCCCCACTCTTTGCCTGTTGTGCCGCAACGTATGCCCATGAGGCGGCGAGGTTGTACACGCAGCAAATTAATTCAAGATTACCATTCCTTGACTCATTCTTGTGGTTATCATCAAAGCTATCGCGCCAGACAAAGAGCAGGTTCTTGTGCACCTGTCCTCCATGCAGTGGAAGATGCGCCTGGGCCATTGCCACAAGTTGGCAGTACGGCTTCAGCGTCTGTTCAATGAACGTCTCCGTAGGTGGGACCTTGGCGTCGGCGCGGCAAGTCTGCACAACTAGTTTGTGAAGGGCACTCATCCGCTTCAGCGTCGCCTCCACGCTGCTCGTGTTGTTGCTTGCGTGATGCACGCTGATGAACTTCAGGCACAACTCCCACTCCGGCACTTCCTCCTTCCCCCGTCGGAACGGCAATGTGACGAACGGGTCCGGCAAATGCGCAAGTGCAGCCATATTTATTTATTTATTTTTCTGTATGTGTGCGTGCGTGTGCTGCACCTTCCGTGTTTCCTCCTTTTCTCCCTATATGTATATAATATACGTATATCAATATATCTTGGCTTCGTCTCGCAACGTCGCAGACGCCCGCCAAGTACTGCCCCCGGCCCGCCACAATCCAACGTGTCGTGTCGTGTTACCTCTCGGCACAAGCCTACGCGTTAGAAAAGGCGGGGAGAAGCCACACCGAGGGCGGCACTCGGCGTTGCCGCGAAAAAACGGGTAGGAGCAGAGGGACCGTTTTAGTCTGGGGGGAGGAAAATAACCAGGCGCGCCGGTATTGCGCGAGAAGGGAGAAGGTGGAAAAAATAACGTTGCATCCGTAACTTACATCGCCCCGATGCGCGTGCGTGCGTGCATGCGTGTGCGCGCGGCCGCACAGGCAAATATACATCCCAGCCAGACACCCCACAAATGCTACAAAGGAGCAACAGCGGCACACACACACACACAAATAAAAACAACCACGTGGACGATGGTGGTGAAAATGGCGGGCAGCAGAAAGAGAATAACAAAAAAATAAACAAAAAAAAAGATCGACAAACTGCATGAAAAACAGTTACATGTCCTTCATCCATCCTTTCTTTTTTATTTATTTATTCGCGTCTCGCTTCATCTCTCCCTCGCCCCCGCCGCCCCCACGCTTCCCGCGATGCGCCTCACCCAGCTATCCCATGTTTTTTTCTTTTTCTTTTTCCCTCTCTTTGTGCTTGATTGTGCTTCCATGCGTGCATCCGCGCCCGCCCGCCCGCCCGCCTCGTTCCCCACCGAGAAGAGAGAGAAAGGCGCACAGACACCCACACACGCAGCAACTTGCCCGCACGCGGCCCCATCGCTTGTGGCTCCACTTCCGCCGCGCCGCGCCGCTACGAGGCGTCGTTGGCCCCCTCGGCCTCCTCCTCCTCCGCCGCGTCGTCCATCTCCATCTTCTCCGCCTCCGGCATCGGCTGCGCCACCTTCTCGAGGAACTCCTTGTCGCGGTGGTGGTCGTAGGCGTAGAAGTTCTCCTCAAAGGCCTCCGCGGCCCACACCGCCTTTTCCTCGGCGGAGGCCACAATGGAGGACGCTTTCCCCAGCATCTTCGGAGCCGCGACACCGTAGCGATCCCGCTCGCGCTCGCGTTCTGACCAACGCCAGCTGTAGTAGTGCACACGACGCACCTCCCGCTCTAGCATCGCACGGAAGTGCCGCTGCTCCCCACTCGGGCCACGTGAAAGAACTTTCGGCAAGGCGTACCAGTGAAATGAGCCGACGCTTGTGCCAATGGCAACGCACTGTACGTAGTTCGGAGGCAGTACCGGGGGCACTGGCTTGAAGTTAATGACGGTAATGGCATCCTGCACAAGCTGATGCACAAGCAGCGGCTCGCGATTTCTGTCTAGCAGGTCCCACACAATAATCTTTCCATCCATTGTGCCTACCACCACAACACTCGCCCGCAGCGGCGCCCAACAGGCGCAGGTGACGGGGGCATCATGCTGCGACGAAATAAAAATGGGACGGTCCAAACCCACACGCCAAAGCTTAAAGTGAAGATCGCCGCAGGACAAGTAAACGTCACTGATGAGAGGGTGTCGGCGGATGCTGTAGACGGGCCCTGCGTGCGCCTTCGCCAGGAGACGCACCACACGGGTTTCGTCCGCGTGAGTTGTGAACTCCCGCCGCTCATCCGGGGTGTGCGTGCTACACATTACAACCTCCCCAAGCGTGGTGCCACAGACGGCGACGTACGACGGTGTCTCATTGAAGTCAAGGCCATCTACCTGAAAGCGGAATCCCATCACCTCGGCACCGCCACCAGGCCTTGACAGCTGGTAACGCAGCAGCGGCACCCACGGAAACTCTTCACCCCCGACCCGGCCCTGATGTTTTATCTTGCGAAGTTTATCCGGCGGAAGATGATCGGCACGAATGTCCCACACGCACATGTACCCGTCATCGCTTAGCGAAAAAAACTGTCGTCCTTCTTGCGTCGCGGTTTGTTTCCCATCAAATCCACACTCCAATCCATCAGGCACCCATTGAATGGCATGCACAGGACGCCTATGCGAAAGCTCCACCCGAGAACTTTGCACCGGCTGAAGACGAGGCACAAGCACATCCCCATCTCGCTCCGTGCTAACTCCCTTCACACTCAACGCCATCGGAGGAATGTCCTTCGTTCCGGGTTCGGCCCGAAGCACTACATTTTGATCTTCCATATGCTCTATCCCAACCCTTGTGCTGGAAACCGTGGCGGTGTCCATCCGGTTAAGGTCCCAGAGAAACAACTGCCCATTCATCGCACCACCTACAATATAGTTTGGCTTTAACGGGTTGAAGCGCAGAACTTGGATCTCCACTGGAGCCTCCAAGAAGGCCCGTGGATGCATGGGGTCCGCAAAATCCCAGACGAGGTTGATGGCGGTTTCACACCGCCTTTCTGCCTCGATGCGTTCTTCGTAGGTGTACCGTGAAACCGAGGCCATGCAAACAAAGTCATCCTTGGGACGAAAACTTCGCCAGCTGATGGAAGAAACGCGAAGGTCCTTCATGGTGGTGTGTGTGTAGTTGCCCTTTTCAATCAGGACAGTGTCGTCACGGGAGCCGACAATCGCGTCATCCTCCGTAAACAGGGTAAATTCATCTTGGTAGATCGGCACCTCGTAGTTTTGCAGCAGACAGTGTAGGGTGCGGGGAAGCACCTTAAGAAAGAAGGCCGTCATCGCCGGATCCTCGTTTCTGGGGACTGTTATGTTGCGAATGCAGGCGTCGACAAGGATGGGTTGCACCTGCATGGCGGCGTCAACCCGCCGGGAGAAGGGCGTCTGTGCGGTGTTGTCCACAACCGGCGTCACCGCCTGGACCCCGGTGTCCACCTCATGCCTCGCCACATCATACATGGTGCTCGTCGTCCCGCGCTGGTCACGGCTATCCTCGCTGGCCTCCTTCGTCAGGTAACTCGTGTGCACCATGCGCTGGTGGAGAAGCACATCCCGCCGCACCTCGAACGACACCCGCACCTGCGGCCGCTTCTTCACATTGTAGCCGTTTTCCTCGGCAATCTCGTTTTCGCTACCCAGACTTTCCCACGTTCCCTTCGGAACGATCGTCTTGAGTTTCCCCGCCAGGGTGAGCAGCTCGTCGGTTATCCAATCCGCGGCGCAGCCAGTACTTTCGCGCTTTTCTTGGCGTCCCACGGACAGCCCAGCAAATTGACTCAACCTGGCGTCCCCCACCGACTGCCCACTCGTCGCCCCGGTCCGCCCAATACTGACGGAGTCGGGGGCTGCATCTGCACCGTCCGTTTCGAGCGACATGGCCGCCGACCTCTACTCCCCCCTCGTGGTTTGTGTCTCCCTCTATATTGTGTCGGCGGGAAAGGCAAATAAACGGCAGCGGCAGCACCTCGAGGTGTGCCCGTCCTACTCCCTTTTTTTTTTCCTGTGTGCGCGTCAAACAGCGATTCGAGCTTTTTCTGCTCAGGCCCCTAATACGCAAGGCACGGGCGCAGACACGTACCAGAAAACAACACAGAATGAGAATAAAGAGGGAAAGAGGGAAGGGAGTAAAAAAAAAGTGGCACGCAGGTGTCCCACGACGCCCTGGCTGTTATCCCGTTTGCGAGTGT